ACGAAACCCTCGTGGGCCGCGCCCACGAAACCCTGGTGGAGGATGAACCTCCCGTCGTGTTCTTCGAAAGCCACGCGCACGTACTTGGTTGCGCCTACTTAGGAAGCCCTAGCGCAGGTGCGTCCGTGCACCTGGGCAGGCCTGCGCACGTAGGTGACGGCGCCTAAGAAATCCCCGCGCACGTGCGTCCGTGCGCCTAGGAAGCCATGTGCTCGCTGAGTGGTGGCGCCTAAGAAATCCCAGCGCACGTGCGCGGCTGCGCCTAGGGTCAGCCACGCACGTGCGCCCAGGGTCTGCGTCTCCTGTGCGCCAGGGTCCCTTAAACGCCACCAGCTACACGCGCTCGACGCGCACATATACACATCCCACACGCGCACACACGCACACACGCACGCACGCACATACGCACACACACACACACACGCACACACGCACACACGCACACACAACACCACACAACAGCACGCAACACCACACAACACCACACAACACCACACAACATCGCATAACACCGCGCAACACCACACAACACCACAACGCAACACGATACAACACAACTCAATTCAACACAACACAACACAGCACACGTCCAATGAGGCCCCCGTCCGTTGGCCCATAGCCCGCGCACATACCGCGCGCCCGACAGGCTCGGCTATTCGCGAGAACCCCACGGGGTCCAGGAACCCGAAAAGGCCTTCAAAACAGGCCTTCAGGACGCGCAAGCGTCTCGAAGTGGGCCCCACAAATGTCCGATGTCCCAAGGGCCCAACGCGTGCCAAAGGCTCCGTGGCCGGCGGCTGCCCGCGCGGGGTCTTGCACTACAGGTCTGGCACAATAGCGGCGTCTTATGGGCGCGGGGGCCGCAAGCCAGACATGCTCCTTTCAGGAGTCGGCGCCGTTGGAGGGGTCCGCAAAGGCTTTTCGCAGTGGAGGAACAAGGACAGGGGGGAAAACTCTGAAACCTCCGCGCGAAGGTCCGGAGGGCGCGCGCAAACAGAGATCCCCCCTCCCATGACCAAGCCCAAGGAGACGAGGAGGCGCAAGAGGGTTAGCAATAGCGGCGTCGGGGCGGGGTTTTAATTCCCTACCTAGGCTCTGCCTAGAAGGGTTCTTGCTCTCTGGGCTTAAAGGAGCCGGGCAGTGGAAAGCGCCGGGCGGTTCCCCCAGTATCCGCCCCGCGGTTCCCCCAGTTGCGCCCCCTGGGCTCGCCCAGCCTAGCTTAGCTAAGCTTAGCCTAGCTCAGCTTAGCTGAGCGTAGCTTAGCTTAGCTTAACTTAGTTTAGCTTATATCATCTTAGCTTAGCTTAGCTTAGCTTAGCTTAGTTTAGTTTAGCTTTGCCTAGCCTAGCCTAGCTTAGCTTAGCTTAGCTTAGCTTAGCTTAGCTTGGCTTAGCTTGGCTTGGCTTAGCCTAACCTAGCTTTACCTTAGGTTAGCTTAGCTTTGCATAGCTTAGCTTACCTAAGCTTAGCGCAGCATAGCGCAGCGCAGCATTAGCACAGCATAGCCTAGCATAGCCAAGCATAGCTCAGCATAGCATAGCATAGCATAGCATAGCATAGCGCAGCATAGCATAGCATAGCATAGGAGCTGGCGACTCCAACGATAACAAGTGTTGCACAATCTTGCTCATTGCCAAATCGTGCGGTGTAGACCGGATACGGAGCATTCTCAAGCACACCCGGTGTGCGAATGCGAGAACATGCGTGTGTGTGTGTGTGTGTCTGTGCGCAGGCAAAGCAAAAACAACATCAAACAAAAGTAACAACAAAAGCACAGCAAAAGCAACAGCACAAGCAAAAGCAAAAGCAAAGGCAAAGACAAGAGCAATAGCAAAGGCAATGCAAAGCAAAAGCAAAGCCAATGCGAAATTATATATGTATATGTAGATGTAGGTGTAGATGTGGATGTAGGTGTAGATGTAGATGTAGGTGTAGATATAGGTGTAGGTGTAGAGTCTCGCTGTTGATATTGATGTAGATGTAGATGCAGGTGTAGATGTAAATGTTGCTGTCGGTGTAGATGTAGATGTTGCTTTCCAAAATGCTCCAACTCCTAGGTAGGGTCGCACTGGGATAATTCGTTTCGGGCCCCGGGGCGGACTCGAACGGGGGCTGAAAAAGCGGGCCAGAAGTGGGGCGAGAAGGAAAAGGAGGGACGAGAGGGGGGAAGGGGAAAGAGCTGGAAGGCGTTGGGGCGCACCCCGGGGCTCGCAGGCGCGTCGGGCGCGGGTCGCGCCGAGCAGCTGCTCGGGCAACGCGCGGGACTCACAAACTTAGGCGCGACCTGCGCGCTCGATCCCGTCGGCCCCAACAACTCAGCCCGCCCCCTCTTGCTCGCGTCTGCGTCGTTCCAGAAGCGAATGGCCTCGAGGCACTTCGCGCGCCGCCCCCTGGCCCAATCCTCCCCGAGACCCAGCCCCCGCGCTGGGGCCCGCTTGTGCTCAGTTTTGCTGGGCGCCACCCTCGCATGCGCGCCCCGCCTTCACCGATGGGCGCCAAGTGGCGCGGCCCGAGATCGAAGGGCAGGGGCCCCGTGGCAACTGGAAGCCCCCCGCTGCTGCCGCGGCCGCCGCGCATGGCGCTGCCGCCGCCGCCTTCGCCGCCTCGGCCTGCGACTCCGCCTTGAGGGCGATGTTTTGGTCGCGCATCCGCTGGCAGCAATGAGATGCCGTCGCCTTCGCGCCGTTCTCCGTCGCCCCCGCCTCGCCCGGCTTCCCGCGCGCGCGGGTCGCCGAGTCCTTCCCAGCCAGCTGCGCCGGCGCCGCCTCGGCGCGGGATGGCTTGTCGCGGCGTCTGCGGCGGCCGCCGACGTCGCCGCCCTCCCCGCCGCTGTCCTGCCCGTGCCCGAGCGCCGCGGCGCCGGATGCAAGCGGCGCCGACGAGTCCGACGCGACGGCGGTGCCCTCCTTTTTCGGTGCCCGAAATAGGCGCGGAAACAATGGGCGCAGCGCCCGACGACAAATGTTGCCCCGCAAAAATAGCGGCCGCCGTTGGGCAGGCGGCCCTCCGTCTCAAATGAGCGCGCGCCGCGGCGATGCCGACAGCGCGTCCTGTTCAAGATGAACAGGAATCTGCTGTTGGGCATTCTGCCCGTTCTGTCCGTGCCCATTTCGTTCGCCCCGATCCTTCAATGCACCTCGCAGGCTGCTGATGGCGCGCTGGAACTTGCGGTTCCAATGAATTTGCATCCGACTCTCGTCGCGCGCCCGGCGTAGCCGCGGCGCATTTGCTGTCGCGGGGAAGCAATTGCGCCTTCTCGCCGCGCGGGCGCAGCAGGCGGGCCGGGGGCAGCGCCTTCAGTTCCCCGCCCCAAACGCACAGCCGCGAGGCGACCTTCACCTCGGACGGAGAGCCGCGCGAAACCCGCCCATTCAGCGCGCGGCGGCGGGGGGTCGACTCTCTGGCCGCAGACGCCTTCGGACCCCGCTTCAGAACGCAGCGCCGGCAAGCTGGCCCTGCATCCGCGGCCCTCCTCAGCGCGCGGCGCGGCGGCATGAACTGCCGCTGGCGTTCCGGGCGCGGGCCCGGGAGGGCGCCCCGCCCTGACTCCTGATCCGCCCTACTTTGGGCGATTTCGAAAGTAGGGCGGAAATTTCCGCCCTACTTTTGAGGCCCCTTTGAGCGTCGATTTCCGCCCTTGAGGCTCCTTTGGCGTCGATTTCCGACACAATTTTAGGTCGGAAAATCATCCAAAGTACGGCGGATCAGGAGCCAGGGCGTGGCCTGCCGGTGCATCGCCCAGCCGGTCCTCGAGCGCTTCTTCCTCGAGCTCGCCGGGGAGGGCCGACGCGGCCAGGTCTGCCTCGTCGTCGGAGACGCGCCGCGGATCCGACGTAGCCAGGGGGGGGCGCGGCGCGGTCTGCGCCTCTGCCCCCCGGGGTGTGGCTCGAGCCAGAGCGGCCACGGTGCTGTTTTATTGCGCCACGTCCCGTCTTGTGAGGGCTGAGCACTACTCGGGGCGGTGGTTTTATGTAGTTGCTATGTTTGTTTCGGGGAGCCCGTTGCATTCGGCGCCGTTCCGCTCGGTCTCGGAGTGCCATTGCATTTTTTTGGTTGGGGGGGGGGCTGTTTTATGTATCGGGGGGGGGGCTGTTTTCTTTTGTTGTTGCTTTCTGTATTGGGAGGGTCATCTTCTTTTGCGATGTCCAGATTTGCTCGGAATGCTGTGGGCTGCGTCCTTGTCGGGGAGGCTGTTTCATTGTGTGCTGCTATGTTTTCAGAAGTCTCTGGGGGGCCTCTGGAGACCTCTTGGTTTCATTATGTATTGTTTGTATTGTTTTGCTTTGCTGGGGCCATTGTAAGCCTTTTGGGGGCCTCTCGGGGGCCTCTGGGGACCTCTCGGCGCCTCTCGCGGGCCTTTTCGGTGCCTTGCGCTTGTTTAAACTTCTTGGGGGCCTGGGCCGGGCAGCCAGGAAAGGGGGGGGGGGGGGGCCTCTTGCGGCCCCGCGCCCTGTCAGAGAGCTCCGAGTCCAATGGCGACGCATTCGGGCGATGAGCTGCAAACGCCACCCCGCAGTGACTGCGGCAAGGATGGCGGGCGGCCAGGAGTGGAACCCCTCTGGGAAAACCTCCGGCCAAACGCTGAAAATAACAACAGCGCGCGCGGAAGCTTTCGGGGCCGCCCGTCCGCGCGAATCGAGAACCGCGGGCGGCGAGAACGCCCCGCGAAAAAAGACGCGGCCAGCGGTGCTCTCCCCCCCGAAAGGCGCAGCAAGGCTGCCCCGGCGTCGGCCCCGGCGCCCCAGCCGCCTTCGGCCGCCCATACCCGGCCGAAGAGCGTCGAATTCCTGCGCGCGCCGGACGCGGGCCCGACTTCCGCGGGCGCCGCCGGTGAGAACGGCGAGCCGGGGAGCAGCGAGACTCTCGTCGCCCTCGCAGAAGATCGGCGCGCGAACGTTCCGCTCGCAACTTTGCGTCTGGAGCAGCCTCTGGGCGAGCCCCCCCGGATCGGACACTTCCGCCGCCGATGGACGCCGCCTCCACGCCAGAAGATCGCAGCCCACCAGGGGCACCGAGCTACCGCTCAGATCTGCGCGGCGCCTCGCTCCGCTGAACCCGCCAGCAGCCCTCGAAAGCGGCGGCAGTTTCGCAGGTCGCAGCCCCCCAGGGACGGCGAGCTACCGCTCGGATCTGCGCGGTGCCTCACTCTGCTGGACCCGCCAGCAACCCTCGAAGGTGGCGACAATTTCGCAGATCGCAGCCCCCCGGGGACGGCGAGCTACCGCTCCGATCTGCGCGGTGCGCCACTCTGCTGGGCCCGCCAGCAGCCCTCGAAAGCGGCGACAATTTCGCAGGTCGCAGCCCCACCAGAGACGGCGAGCCACCGCTCAGATCTGAGCGGCCCCCCGCTCCGCTGGGCCCACCAGCATCTCGAGAAAGCGGCGGCAACTTCGCAGGTCGCAGCCCTCCCCCCCCCCCCCGCTCATATCTGCGCGGTGCCCCCGCTCCGCTGGACCCGCCAGCACCTCTCGAAAGTGGCGACAATTTCGCAGCCCCCCCGGGACGGCGAGCTACCGCTCGGATCTGCGCGGTCCTTCGCTCCGCTGGACCCGCCGGCAGCCCTCGAAAGCGGCGGCAGTTTCGCAGATCGCAGCACCCCCGGGGACGGCGAAGTCTTGCGGGGGACGGGGGGCGGGAGACAGGAGGCTGGAGGAGGAGGGGGGCGCGACTGCGGCACTCCATTCAAAACGAATCCCCCACCAAGTAGGGCTGCGCAAAAAACATGCCGCATCGCGATTCCTCTGCCGTTCCTCCCCTCTGCCCCTCCTCCTGCCCCCTCCCTCCTACCCCCCCGCCGCCCCGCGCTCCTCCTGCCCCCCCTCGCCCGCCTCGAGGCTCGCCGCGGACGTCGCGGGCGCCCGGCGCGCCCCCCCCCCCCCTGTCGCGCCCCGCGCCGCCCCGCGCGCGGGCCCAGGCGGGCGGGGGGGGGGCGCGGGCCCAGCAGCAGCAAAAGCAGACGCAGCAGCAGCAGCAGAGGCAGCATCAGGGGTAGGAAAGGAGGGAAGGGTTGAGGAGGGGAGGGCGAGAAGCGCAAGAGGGCGGGCGGGCGGCCAGAGAATGGGGGGGGGGGGGAGCGGAGAGAACGGAACCGCAGCAGCAACGGGCGGCGAAAGAGAGACGGGGAGAACGAGCGGCACCAGAGAGGAGGGGGGGAGAAAAAAAGAGAGGAAGGAGGGGGGAGGAAACGACGGAATCCCTGGGGGAGTTATTTCGATGCCACGTCATGCCAAAAAACCCGGCGGCGAACGCGGGGGGGCCCCATGGCGCGCGAGGGGATGCCCTGGTAGATCAGACGCGCGGGCCATTCATCGGAGAGGGCGCCTGCCCTGGACTCGGAAATGCGCGAATGAGTAAACCCATGAGCTTGGCCGCGCCAGGGCCACTGGGTTCCCCTCGGCCCTCGACTGCCCGTAGCCTTTGGCCCAAACCATTGGCTGAACCATTTGCTCATCCTCTTTCTCCTCCTCGTCCTCGTCCTCGCCCTCTCCCCCCTTGCCCCCCTCGCCCTCGCCCTCGCCCCGTCGTCGTCGTCGTCCTCCTCCTACTCCCCCCCGCCCTCATCCTCGTTCGCTTTCTGCTTCCTATTCTCTTCTGCCCTCGCGCGCCTCGGACTGCAGAGAGCAGCCCAGACAACGACAGTTCCGGGCGCGCGATGGGACGGGGAAGGTGGGAAAAGGGGGGCCCAAGGAATGACTGGAGGAGGTGGCATCCTAAATGGTCGCCGTTGGGGGGCTGGGCATCGCAAGTTAAAACGTGCATCATATTGCATTGGGGGCTCTGCCGATGCGAGCAAGCACGCGTGCTTCCGAGCGCGCGGAATTCAAGGATTCAGGCATTCGGAGGCGAATTCTTGGAATGTTAAATTCATGACATCGTCAGTTTTTCGGCAGCCGAAAAAATCGAGGATTTCAGAAATTGGGCAGCTATGTATTCTATATATTCGGCGTTGAGTTGTTCACCGCTGGTTTATTGAGGCGAGGGCCATCTATTCGAAATGGAAGGCCTGTGTTGTCTCGCGCCTCGTGCCCGGCGGCTTCGGCCCCGCCCCGGGAATCGCTCCCGCAGGGGCAGCCGCCGGCGCGCCATCTGCCGGGCCCAGGGGCGCGCCGACCCCTCCTGGGAGGGCCGCCGCCACCTCGTCGGTCGCCTGCGCGAGCTGGCGAGCGCCGAGCGCAGGCGGGCGCGTGGCCCAGCGGCCACGAACGCGGCCGCTCTGCGGCTGCTGCGCGTCGCCGCCGGGGGCCGAGAGCGCGGCGCCCGTGCCGCCCAACTCACGCGGCAACGTTCTGCGCATCGGGCGCGGCAACGTTCTGCGCATCGGGCGCGGCGCGAAACCCGCTTCTCCTCGGGGGAAAGGCGCGCCGGCAAGCGGTTTTCGGCGAGCGCGGCCATGTGCCGCTCGATGCAGTCCGCGCGGAGAGTATGCCCGCGTGGGAGCGCCGCGCAAGGGCACAGGAAATGCTGGGCGAAACGCATGGCGCACGTGCTATCCTCTGCCATGGCCTCACGAGGCCCTGATGTGCCCTGGTGCAAGTTGAGCGCTGCCGGACCCTTCAGGACGCCGGAGCGAAAGTGGCTGCGGCTGGAAAGAAAAAGAGAAGAGAAGGGAGGAAAAGGGCCGAGATGAAATGGAGGAAAAGGCGCCGGGAACTCACCGAATCCGCTCAGCGTCCAAAGCCCCCGCCAAAGCCCCGCTGGAACTCACCGAATCTCCCAAGGGGCCATCATTTGAAAAAACTACGCACTTTCGGGCCCACGCGACATTCAAAATTCGCCGGCCCAACGGGCCAGACGCGTGCTAAGGTCTCCGGTAACTAGTTAACAGTATCTCTAGTTCGCGCGCGCGGGGCGGCCCCTGGGGGTCCCCGGACGAAAAGCACCCCGGGCGATCCCCGACCGACCCCCGAGCGATCCCCGGGAGACTCCCCCAGAGCGCTCCAGGAGCGCTCCAGGAGCGCACCAACAGGGCTCCGAGACGTCCCCGAAACCCTCAAGACGGGTCCAGATGCCCCCAAGAGGCTCCCAAGATGGTACACAAGGGTTCCGAGATGCCACATGATCGCTCCAAGACGCCCAAGATGGCCCCCAGACGCCCCAAGAGGCCTCCAAGAGCACTCCCAAAAGGGCCCCAAGAAGCAAAATTCATAGCTTTTCCTCAGGTTTTTGAAAGATTTTGGAGCTTCCACCTTTTCGGCTTCCCGACGCCCCAAGACGGCCCAAGAGGCCCCCAAGATCGCCCCAAGAGGGCCCAAGAGGCCCCCAAGAGGGCCCCAAGATGGCCCAAGAGGGCTCGAAGACGGCCCAAGAAGCCTCCAAGACGGTCCAAGAGGGCCCCAAGAACGCCCCCAAGGGGGCCCCAGAGAGGGAACACGAAACAACATTTCGAGCCCTCGGCCCTAAGAAGCCCCCACGAGGCCCCAAGAGGCCCCTAAGAAGCCCCAAGAGGCCCCCACGAGGCCCTCAGGAGGCCCCCAAGAGTCCCCCAAGCGGCCCCAGGAGGCCCCCCAAATGCCCCCCCGAGCGCCCCAGGAGTCCCCCAAGCGGCCCCAGGAACCCCCAAAGCGCCGCATTGACACCAGGCCCTCGGGCAAACGGCAGACATGAGACTGTATGGGCCGGCGGAATGAGCGAAGCGATTAAATGATGCAATGCAGCACAAAAAAGGGCAATACAATGAATTCAACGCAATGCAATGCAGGGCGGTGCAAAGCAGTACAATACAACGCAATACAAAGCAACGCAAAGCAATGCAAAACAATGCAAAACATTGCAAAGCAATGCAATGGAAAGCAACGCAAAGAAATACAGCGCAATGCAAAGCACCGCGGCGACGGGCGGCGACCAGCCAGCCGGACCGCCACTGGGGCCCAGCGGCAACGACGGCGACAGGTGGCGACGAGCCAGCCGGATTGCCACCAGGGCCCAGCGGCGACGGCAACGACAGGCGGCAACGGGCGGCGACGAGCCAGCCGGACCGACGCTCGGGCCCAGTTGCCCTAGAACGCAGGCAAGATAAGAATCCCTAGGTGCCAGCTCTGTTTGGATAATAAACATGCAGAACTGGAAATTCGTGCACGCATGACTTTACATATGCGAACACATTCGTGCATGCATGTCGCATGCAAGGGTGCATGCATGCATGTCATGGGCGAAGCAATATTGCGATCAAATCGGCAATCTGCTGGCACTGGGCCAACACAGAGGAGCAAGTTGGTGCCAATCGGGGGGTTGTCACGTATGAACCTATGAACCAAAAGCCCACTTGCACTAAGCAGTCAGGAACGCTGGACCGACGTTGGGGTTTCGTGATTAGTCGGGGCGGGAGGGGAACCAATCGAATTCCCGCCAGCGCTAAGCTTTTCCTCAGAGCACAGGCCCTGGATGCAATCACAATTTGAACAACACCGCATGCAATTTGCCCGAAAAGGGAACCGTCCAAACGAGTACCAAACAATTACGGAGTCTAAGCTCATCGGACTTTCGATTCCTGGCAATTATAGTGTCGAGTCCTTCGCGTCTGTTTCCGCTGCCAAGTTGTTGATGTACACCTTCGCAGTTGGTATCTCCTCGTCGTTGTCGTCCTGCTCCGGCGGCGCCTCGGACACGGGCTCCAAATTCTCGGGCTTGAAGTTGTTGACGGAGCCGTTCGCGAACTCGACCTGCCAGCGCCCCTTGTCCTTATTGAAGTCCATCAAAGTGCCAATGGCCCCATTCTTCTCGGGGTTCTTCTGTAGACCCCGCACCTGGACCTGAATGCCAGTCTTCAACTCGAGAGGCGTCGTCTCGCCTGTCTCACCTCGGCTCTCCTCGCCGCGCCCCATCGATACTGGGGCTGTCGGCCAAGTTTCGCAGCAGCACTCCCCGGGGGCCGACCGGCTTGAGCCCGCGGTTTCGCTGGTGGCTCACGTGTGGGAATTGAAATCGGGCGGCCCGCCAGCAATGGTTCGCAACCGTTCTCTCTCGCACCCGCTCTTGTGCTCGCTGAGCGCTTGAACGCTCGCGCAACCATACCGGACATTCCTCCCAGTCCCTCTTCCCCAGCACTCCTCCTTCTCCTCCTGTTCCTCCTGTTCCTCCTGCTCCTCCTCCTCCTCCTCCTCCTCCTCCTCCTCCTCCTACTCCTCCTCTTCCTCCTTCGGATTCCGCAAGCTGCACATGAAATCGTGCGCGAACGTGCCACATGCACGCGCTTTCAATATGCGTTCGACTCCCTCTTTCCGCGCGTATTTTTACGCGAGCCGAATGCGCTGGCATTTTCCCTGGATCCCTACGTGTGCGTGCATCCGTCCAATCGACCACATTTACGTAATCTTGGCCCGATCGACCACAGAGAACCCTGAGGACCGCGTCACCCTCCGTCCAAAACTCTCCAACGGCGCCCCAAGAGAGCCCTGGGATGCAGTCATTCGAACTCCAAGAACACATTGATAATCGTCGCCGCCCCTTTCTCGGGCTCGAAGGCCTTCAAAATGGCCCCAATAGGGCCCGGCATGTCCCCGAGAAAGCCTTCAAGGCTGAGTGTGTTGTATGACGCGCAACAGGCTTTGGCATGATGCGCGAGCGCCGAGGGCCTCGGGCCTTCTTTGGAAATGCCTAGGCAGCTCTCCCGACACTGAGTCCTGATGGCCGCCCCCCCGTTTCCTCCTCCCGTGGACCCCACCATCATCTCCGCGAGGTTCCTCATCGTCCTCCCTCGCCATCTGTGTATTGCTTCGGCTCTTGGTACGGAGCTTCCTCCTCCACTCGCCGCCCCTCTCAAAATCTTCCTCACCCATCCTCCTCCATGGCATCATCCCGTCGTCCTCCTTCTCGTGCTCATCATTATCCTTGTGGGCCTGCCTGCATGGAGGGAGGGCTGTGGCGAGAACACGGATATGAAGATATGAGCGCGAAAGCGAGTATTTAGTATGTACGAATGTGGATCACACGGATAGATGTGCAAACAAGAAAAAGAAGGCCACGGGTGAAACGTGAGATGGGAGAACAAGAGGGCGACACAGACCACACACAGGACGAAAAACACAACCAACCTGACCCCGCCGTCCTGCCAAGCCCACGTCTTCCTCCTCTTCCCTCTTCTTGCTCCTCGCCTGTTTGGCAATGGCTGCAGGCAGTACAGCATGCAATGGGCTTGTGGGTTTCGCAGAAACCCCACATGATACCCTACGCGAACACGATGCGCTACTTATCGCGCCTACACGGTCCTCAACCTTGCTCCGACCAAAGCTCATACAAAGAAACTGGCAAGCCCTTTTGGCTTCGCTCCTCTCCTGGGGGTCCGTAGAATGGCAGTAGCCTCTTGGATACCAAACGACAATACAATCCGAGCCGACGCGGTGTCGTTTCTCCCCTCACCCATGTCAAACAATGCGGTCCGGTGCAAGCGGGTTGATGAAACCTGTGCTTGTGACAGAAAACTATGCGGGCCACATCGTACGCTGCTGCGCGCATATGTCAAACAAAGCACGGACAGTTGCTTGTTGCAATCATTGACATACATACCCACTCAAGTCTACAAAAGAAACAATTGCGTGTGAGGGTGATCGTGTACACATTTCCTGATTTCTGTGCACGCGCACTTGTTGAAATCCGCCGACCCCTGCTTGCTGGGGGAGAAAGGCGTGTGGGACATGTGGTTGTCCCCCTCCCGCTTACAGGGGGTTACTGGGGGGGGGGAGGGGCGAGCTCGCCAACGCATCCAAGGGGTTCTCTGGAGCCTCCAAAGAGCCCAAAACGGCCCAAGAGGGCTCAAGCAGAGCGCGTGGAGACGGCCTAGGGTAAGCCCGCGACGGTCCAAGATGGCTTCAAGACAGCTCGCAATGCCCCCCGGACGGCCCGAGAGTGCCCCCAGAGGATTAACGACAGGGCCACAAGACCCAAACATCGTTTCATTTCCTTGGAGAGCGTACATGTTCAACATACCTGTCATTTTCGTCTCGACAGCGTCCGCCACGACCCAAGGGCACCCCAACAATCGTCCCGAGACTACCCACGATGCCATCAAGAAGGACCCAAGACGGCCCCACGCAGCCTCAAGACGGCCCAAGAGGGCCCCAAGACGGCCCCAGGGGGCCCTAAGACGAAAGGCCCACGAGGAGCAACACGAACTGACATGTCGAGCCTTTCGTCCCGCCATGGTCCCAGAAAGCCCCCAGCGACACCTGACGCGCCCCCAAGAGGCACCCAAGAGGCCTCCAAGAGGCCCCTAAGAGGCCCCACAAATGCAGCCAGATGCTCCCACGAGCCCTCTAAGAGACCCAAAACGGTTGAAACTCAACTCGTCATGTAAAACAGTCTGGCCCCTAGCTCGCCCAAGCAGTTTCCGTGGGATGGGGGGATGGCGCAAGCCACTTGATGCATGAAACACCAAAAAATGATACGCCATTCTGTGGATCCAGACCATACCAACCACACGCGCGCGGATTCCGATCACAGCCGACGGCCATCGTGCACCCACCAACTCTGTCATACCATGCGGGCCACGCACGCGCGTCTCCGTG